AATTAGTGCCATAGCAGCAAGGGACATAATAATATGAAATCTTTTGTTGGGAGGAAATAGAACCATTAAATCCTGACTATGTCAGTCTTAATTTCATATTTCTGTTGGGATATCAACAAAGGATGTGATCCTCTAGAGTTCTTTGGATCATCCATCCAAAATATACATTGTATTATTGTACAGTAATAGATTACTTTATGATGTCACTTATATGAGGCACTTAGAATAGTCAAATTCATAGAGATGGATCTAGAATACTGGTTGCCAGGGGTTGAGGAGAGGAAAAGAGGGAAATTTATTATTTAAAAGGAATAGAATTTCAGTTTTGCAAGATGAAGGGTTTTGGAGATAGATGGTAGTGACGGTTGTGACAAATGCATTTAATACCACTAATGGTATGCTTAAAAAATGGTTAAGGTTGAAAATTTTGCTATGTGTATTTTACTACAATAAAAATTCAGAAAAAATTATAGGATTGTACTGTATTCAGTATGAGAGAAACAAGATTAATGAATTCACAGGCTGATACAGAAGAAAAATGTAATCAAAATAACAACAGTTTGCTAGGTTCTGTACATGGTTTATAGAAAGGGCTAGGGTACCATGGATTCAGACATAAGAGTGTGACTAGCTTTGTGCACGGGCATTGGAAATTGGGGTGCGTAGAAAAGGGGGTAGCAGTATACATGAAAGCTTCATATAAGAGTTGATATTTGAGCTGGTCTTGAAAGGTGAATAAGAGGGGCACCTGGGTGGCTCAGTCTGTTAAGCATCTGTCTTTGGCTCAGGTCATGATCCCAGAGTCCCAGGATCCAGCCCCGCATTAGGCTCAGGCTCCCTGAGCCTGCTTCTTCCTCGGCCTCTCCCTGAAGCTTGTGCTCTCTCTTGCACTCGTGCTCTCTCAAATAAATAAATAAAATCTTAAAAAAAAAAAAAGGTGAATAAGAGTTGGAAAGATAACAGAGAAGGTATTCCAAACAGAGGCACAGAGGTATTAAAGGGATCAAACATCTATAAATTGAGCAAAGTTGTATGGCTGAAGCACAGGACCAGTGGAGGAGAGTGGTAGGAGGCGATGTTAGTGACACAGATGGGTAGAGGCTACACTGCTTATCATGTTTAGATTATGTTCTAAACCAATAGCCTTAGTCAGAAATAGGCTTCAGGATTACTTGTGAAGGTTTCAAAAATACATATGGCCAGATTTATCACTGAAGATTTGGTTTAGTATGTCCAGAGTGGACTCTGGGCTTCTTCATGTTGTCAAAGGTCCACAGTAATTGAGATGGGCTTCCAGACGCCCTATGATAGGTAATATGACACTGCTAAAGATTTTATTTTTAAGGCATGTTAAGGTTTGGGATGCCTGGGTGGCTGAGTTGGCAGAGGCATCTGACTCTTGTTTTTGGATCAGGTCATGATCTCAGGGTCATGGGATCAAGCCCCATGATGGCTCCATGTTCAGTGGGGAGTCTGCTTGAGATTCTCTCCCTCTCCCTCTGCCCCTCACCTCTGCTCATTCTCTCTCTCTTTCTGTGTCACCTAAATAAAATAAATAAATAAATAAATAAATAAATAAATAAATAAATAAATAAATCTTTTTTGGAAAAAAGTGTTAGTGTTAAGGTTCACTAGCTCTAAAGGCTCTAAAGGCAGTATGATATAGGATGTGGAGTGGGTGGGACCTGAAGGGAAAAAGACAAGACAGAAGGTTTGTAAAGCAGATGAGAACTAATGACAGTTTGGGTGAAGACAGTGGCAACAGAGGATAAGAATAGATTTGAAAGGCATTCCGAAAGTCAAAATTATTGGACTTGATGGCCAAGTACATCACAATGTATAAAAGAGAGAAATCAAAAACACTGCTCAGATTTCTACATCAGATAACTGGATGATGGTAGATCCATTAACTGGGATAGAAAATGCTGGCATAAATACAATGTCTGGTAGATTGTCAAACAAGTGGGTGCTGAATAAATGTTGAGTGAATAAAACCCCTCTAATAATAATGGTCATACAACTGTGGATTGTAAAAAAACAAGTAAGGATTTTGTCAGTTTTGTTGGTTTTTGACAGATCTAGATGTGCTGGGGAGGGGAGGGAGTAGGCTGTGAGGAAGATATGCAAAGCAGGAGGTAACATCAAAGCAAAAACCCACAAAGGTTAGAAAGTTCTAGAAACAGTGAGTAGATCAGTTTACCTCTATGATAGTGAGAAGAGACTGTAAAGGTATAATGGCTTCATGGTGTGGTATGTCTGAATGTCAGGCTAAAGAAGTTTTAATTAATTCGGAAGGTGATGGTAAGTCATGGCTTTTATGCAGGAGTCTTTAGGATGATGGTCTTTAGGACACTCTTATAGCAGCAGTGGGATAGGATGGCTTGGGACAGGAAGAAATCTAAGGGAAGAAAGATCAGTTAGGAGGCTACTGTGAGGGTAGAAGCAAATGATAATAATAATAAGAACAATGATGGTCACAGTAGGAATGAGAGGCAGGAGCAGAATCCAGAGATATTTCAGAAAAAAATTAATATGTAAGATCAAGTTCCAGATTGAGGTGCTTGGAGGTTAGAATTGGATTCAGGGTGAACCCTGGGTGACAGAGTGTTGTGGTGTCAGTGAGAAGAAATAATGGCATCGGGAAGGTGAGCAATTTTAGGCAGAGATAAATGATTCCGAGGCATCAGCAAGGTATCCAGGTGAAGATATATTTTGGGCACCTGGAAATGCAACACTGCAGTTTAGAACACAGACTGGAGCCAGAAATGTAAACTTGGGAGCCATCCGGTGTAAGTGATAAACGATGTGCGTGAGAGGATAGGAGAGCCAAGGAAAATAAAAATGAGCCCAATGGAACAAACCATGGGGGTACGCTTACCCTTGGCTGGGTGAAGGAAATCTTGGAAGTAGAAAGAAAAGCAGTCCCAGGGAGGAACGAATAATTTGGAAGACATACCGTTCAATTAAAAAAAAAAAAAGTGGGGGTGGGGAGCAGAGCTTCAATAAACAAAGAGTGGTAAAGAGTCAAATAGGGAATAGGGAATTTGAGGCTGAGGAAGACTGGTATAGGGCAGGTGGTTGGCTGACAGGCGAGGAAGCATTGGTGGGGATGATGCTGGGTTGACTGGGGTGAGCGAGGGAAGGTGCGGGGTAGGCCATATGGAAGCCAAACGTCTCCACATCATTTCTGATGCCAGAGCCAGAAGTACCGAGAGCTTGGTTCCTGGCCTTGTTGCCATTTGGTTGTAATGCATTCAATTCTTGGTATTCTCAGTAGTCATATAACTTTCACTGAAACAACAGGGCAAGCACTGTGGGTGCAAACAGCATTTGGAACATGATTCATGAACACTTCGGGTCCGGGAGCACTGGGTCTCGATGCTTCCCGAGAGGAAAGCATCAAAGTTAAAATGACCATTTTGCACAGCTGTCTGTGTGCCAGAGCTGTGGGTGACAATTAACCAAATATCACCGCACTATTAATTGAACAAATCTTTCTGTCACTAATTTGAAATGGTACTCTCATCATAAACTAAGTCCCCAGATGGATTTGTGTCTATGTTTGGACTCTGTTTCATTCCATTTTGTACCAAACCTGCTGGTATTTAATTGGGATTGCCTTGAATCTATGAATTAATTTGAGGAGAACTGGCATCTTTACAGTATTCAGTCTACTAAAAAGAAGCATACTTAAGCCTTCTTTTATGTGCCACAGTGGAAGATAATTACTTTTTCATATAGTCCCAAGCTCGTCCTTTTCAGTTTATAGCTATATATTTCCTTTTGGAACTGCTATTGTAAAAGCATTATTTCTTGCATTTTAAGTGTGTGTGCATCTGCGTGTGGAAGTAGGAGAGATGTAGGTGTTTTCTCAGATGACCAATTAAAAATCAAAAGAAATAATCTAAAGCAAATTGAAGTTTTTAATAGCATCTGACCTTCAATGAGCTGATATACATTTAAAAAATCACTTTGGATAATACTGTGACGTAAAATAGGGAAAAATGAATGCACTTTATTTCACTTTTGTCTGGCTAACATACCACACATAAGCCAAGCTGTGACTGCAGTTGAAATGTGATGTCTGTTGAGGCCTGCTACCAGCAGTGGGAGCTCCATTTTCCTCTTTCTACCACACGAAGCCCTAGCTAGATGCTGGCTTTTGCCACCTGAAAGCCAACTCTGCTTAGCCCTCCTGCTTTGAACCTATGACCGTGACCATCAGGTCTCCCACGTGTCCTCCCCAGGCGCTGGTGAATAGGCTTCAGGAAGCTGCCCAAGCTCTCCACTGCAGAGCATACTCACTCACCAGGGACAGAGGGGTTTGCACAGAGTTGATGTAGCCACGAGTCAGGACACACTTGGCTTTTATTTCTGCCTTTATCCCAGTCCTCCGAAACTTTTCAACTTGAAGAAAAACTGAGAACTATTTAATAAATCTGGACAAGGGGTCAGCAAGCTTTTATTGCAGACAGCCAGAGAGAAAACGTTTCAAGCTTTGTGGGCCATATGGTTTCTGTGAAAACAACTTAACTGTGCTGTTGTAGTGTGAAAGCAGTCCTAGACAATAAGGAAATGAGCCTGGCTATGTTCTAATAAAACTATTTACGAAACAAGTGGTGGGCCAGATTAGGCCCAGAGGCCAGACTTGGCCCTATGGTTCACAGTTTGCAAATCCCTATTTTAGACCAGCAAATTTCCAAACCATTTATTATTTATATTAAAAAAAAAATAACAGTCTCCATGGAACTAAGCGTGACAGGCTGCAAAGCACTGGAAGGTTAAAATGTAGAAAATCACCAGAATCAGCTCTCCTATCAATCTCTAAACAACAACCCTGAGCATAGCTTGTATTTGTCTGCTTTATGAAGCACAAGGGGATTATAGTATACAACAAACACACATATTACACTAAAGTGTGGTCACTGCTTTGAGGGGGAAGAGAAAGTCAAATGAAAACACCATTATTATTAGTGATGGGAGTATTTGTTCTTACTTACCAATCCTGTACTGCATTGAAGGATTCTTCATTTGTGATGTCATACATTAAAATAAAGCCCATGGCCCCACGATAATAGGCTGTGGTGATAGTCCTGTATCTTTCCTGGCCTGCTGTGTCCTAAAAAATAACAACAATAATCTCTCAAAAAATAAGGCAATACATACTTGGGGAAGTGATTAATTATTCCAAAAACAGTCATAATAGGGAATCTAGATTATACTTGCAAAGTATAACTATATATGTTTTTCATCTTGTTTTCCCTCATGATTTTCATATGGCAGCTCTGCAATATTATGAAAAATTCTTTTTTGGTAAAGATCTAGCTCAAAATACCTTCTACATATGTTCATTCCTGTTAAGCAGCAGATAACCATAGATAATACAATAAAAAGAAAGATTATACATATCAAAGTCTGTAACTTTTTGTATAGTTTAAAACCAGAGGGGTTCATTAGTCCCATCATTATGTATTTATAATCTATCTAAGTACAAACCACTGTGGGAGAAAAGAAGAATTTCATGAAAAGGTCCCTGCTTTTAAAAGCACGCAGTTTAATCTCAGTTCATTCAACTGTAAAGGACTAAAAATACCTGCTTTGTGTGAATGTTTGAGTTAACAGACCTGGACTTCCTGCTCTCCTATTACATTGTTGGGGGAGCATGGACAAGCCATAGGACTTCTGTAACTAAGCCTCTCTAAAGTCTAGCATGTTTGTTGGGAGTACATGAAACAGTGTATGTGAAGTGCCTCACACAGAGCCTGGCACACAAACAGCGGTCGATAAATGCCAAGTATTAACTGCTGTTCCTAAAGGTTGGGGAGGCAAGGCTAGCATAAGATGGGAGAGAGGAGCTTACAAATACAGGGGTTCAGGACCTGCAGAAGAGATTGCACACAATAGTGAGATCTGGGAATATGCAGACACATCACTGAAGCCACCTATGTCATGTACGCTGTTCAGTGTAGCTCAAGAAATTATTCCTCAATTCAACCGACTCTTGCCCATTTGTCTTCACAGGATCTGGGTTATGGCTTATAATACCATGCTCCTTCGTTTTCCCCTTCACCATTTATCCTGAAGACCAGGCTCTGATTTCTCTTTCCTAGTACTTCAGGTGCTGAGCACTTTGGACAAAAATGTTATCTTCTTCCTGACTTTAGTCTGGATCCTCGTTCTCCTCTTATTCCCAGAGATGCCTCCTTTGCGCACAGAGTACATCCCAGCTTCCTCTAAGACTGAATAGCCCTTAGAGGGGAAGCTAATGTGTTGGACGATACAAGAATAGCTTCTTTGTTGTCAAAATGAAACTAACATCTCCTGGGTCTCACCCTTGGGATGGGCTCATGCTGGATATGCTATTCCTCAACCACAGGTATTCTGCTTGGATGCTTACACTCCACCATAGACTAACCCATAAGAAACTTGAGATTGCTTACAATTTTTTCCTAATCTGTGTGGTATGGTTTACTCACCCCCTGCAATTTCAAAGGAGGGCGTTCGAAGAAGGCTGAGGAAATCAATAAATGATTCCAGGAGAACACAGGGGCATGAAGCAGAAGTTGAAAATTAGCCAAGGGTGTTACTTTTCATGAAACCAGCAACAAGGACCAGGGGTGGGACTGGCCTGACTAGAAGATACTTATGTGGTGATGTCAGGAAAATAAATTTCTAAAGATAGGATGGAAACCAATTATGGTACCCCAAATAGCAAAAATAGAGCAAAATCTGTGGGAAAGAGAAAACAAAAAGGAAGATATAGATTTTACCACATGAAAATTTGACAATTCCCTGAATAAAAAAAGGTATAAATAAAATTTAAATGATAATCAAATAAAGTGAGAAATATATTTGCCTTGTAGCAGAGAACAAAGGTTACTCCCCTTAATATATTAAGTAGTGCTAGAAATCATTAAGAAAAATGTTAAATAATCTAATTTACAATTGTTGATATAGAGGCACATGAATAACAAATTAGTCTGTAAGAAGAGTTGAATCCCAAGCATAATAATGCTGCAGAGTTGCATGTCTACATAAGAGAAGTTTCCTGGACATTATATGAATGTTTTATTGTACTTTGATTAGTATTTTATAAATATGAAAATGCAGATGTTTGAGATAAATGTGAATACCATAAACTGCATAAAATTGGGAAAAATAGTTAAATTTATTAGGCAGAAAGAAGCCAATCTTGAGCTCATGTGGATATTTTTAATTCATCGGATTTAATTCAATGAACAGCATATCCAATTGTGAAATAAGGAAAAACTTTAGAGAACCAAATTTCCAAGGATTATATTTACAAAGCATTAAATAATCACAGACTATGTAATATATTTTCAGCTGTTTGGGGAACAAAACATCTTATAACTAGGCATTTTATTCTCAAACATCTCCTTTGGTGGTGGGTGCTTATTTTTCAGAATGTGTTATATATAAAATTATCATTTTTTTCTTATTGTGAAGTAACTTTAAATGGCTGTCTAGTCAATGATATTGTAATAGTGTTGTATGATGACAGATGGTAGCTCCAGTTGCAGTGAACTCAGCATCGTGCATAGACTAGTTCACTATGTTGTGCACCTAAAGCTAACACTGTGTGTCAACTATACTCAAATAAGAGAGATTTTTAAGGTCATAAGAAGTAGGTAACAATTTTATTTATTTTTTATTTATTTTTCTTTTTAAAGATTTTATTTATTTATTCATGATAGTCACAGAGAGAGAGAGAGAGAGAGAGAGAGAGAGAGAGAGAGGCAGAGACACAGGCAGAGGGAGAAACAGGCTCCATGCAGGGAGCCCGACGTGGGATTCGATCCCGGGTCTCCAGGATCGCGCCCTGGGCCAAAGGCAGGCGCCAAACCACTGCACCACCCAGGGATCCCCATAGGTAACAATTTTAAAAAGATAAAAATCTAGAGAAAAAAATCTTTTTAGCATTGATTGAGTACTCTTCCCACAGGTTGGGGACCCCATTCCTGCTGCCTTCTCTATGTAACAGACAGCTTTCCCCTGATTTTTCACTAGGAGAAAATAGCCAATACACCCAAGCACTGCTAAAAGGTGACCCAGACCCTTCCTGTCAGGCATGTCTTCCACATAGACACTGAATAATAGTGTGTTGGAAAAACTATGACATCTCTTTCTTCTTGACCTCTTCCGGCGATAGCTTCCCTTTTCATAAGATGTTAATTTTATTTTGACAGTAAAGAAACTAGTTTTAGCATGATAAAACATTCATTTCAGTCTGTGGGTGTATTTAATCTTTGAGAGAGCAGAAATCAAGGCCCCATTATATTATGATTGATATGTTACAGGAAACCACATGGTTGGATAGCCACTATCAAAATTTGAAAGTAGATAGAAGGAGACAAAAAACAGCTTTCATGAAAAAAAAAAAAAAAGATAGAAGCTTTCAGAAAGCATTTAAGTCACAGCAAGGATCAGGACCTTCCTCACCATTCTGATTTGAACCCAGAAACACAATCTAACTGGAGGTAGTTGTCACCTAAAAGCTCTCAGGGAGAATAAGAAATTGCACCACATAGGGGTAGTGTTTTAGGGAATACAGAGGGTAGTTTTCCTTCCCATTGCAAAGACAATGAAAAAGAGTAAAACTAAGCTAATAAATCAGGCACCAAGTTGGCTCTTCATTGGTTTTGAGTCCTGAAAACAATTTCAGAATCACAAATTCATTAGCATATTCTCTCCCATGGTATCAGGAAGAAAAAGAAGTCAGAAAAACACTTCATTACATTTGACATTTACTAATGATGATAGAAGGTTGTATCTGAGAGAAAGGAACATTTTATAATGTCAAGTGCCACTAATGTAATTAAATGTGAGCAGTCTCAGAAGGTAACTGGCTAAAATGGGACCTCTTCTCAATTTGCTCAGAAAAATGGCTCCAAACCTTGGTTTTGCACTGTTCCTCTGCTCGATTAATTCTGATAACTGGGGATACCTGCTGATTTCCTATAAATGTAGGCTTCCTATAATTGAAAAACACAACTGGAAATCTCTTACAAAGAACATGAAGGTTAAAAATATGATTAAAAGTGAAAACTTTCTTCCATGAAAGTTAGCTGTCATTTTCTTCTCTTCTAAAAAAAATAAAATCATTTTGGGTGGTTTAAATATTTTGATTTCTCATTCATGTTTGTTTTGTTTTGTTCTTAGAGAGAGCTCCCGTGCAAGTGAGTGGTGGCATGGAACAGGGAAGGGGGACAGGTGGGGAAGGAGAGAAAGAATCCTGAAGCAGACTCCCAGCTGAGTGTGGAGCCCAACATGGGACTCAGTCTCATGACTCTGAGATTATGACCTTAGCCAAAATCAAGAGTCAGGTGCTTAACCAACTGAGCCACCTAGGCACCCAATTTCTCATCCATGTTTTTAAGAGGGATTTTTTACTTTAATGATGGGTTTGATTAGCAATAGTTGAGTATACGTTAAAAAAGAACTGTAAAATGTAAAATATTAGAGCTTGATAAGTAGAAGTGATTCAGTTTGAATTTTGGAATTTTTGTCTTTGCTTTTTTTTTTGCCTTCATTTTTTTCTGATGAAATATTCTATATATTTTTAACTATATGTACTGCATTCCCAAACTCTTCTAAAGTTATGCAGAGATAATGTGCAGTTTTAAGACAGAGGGAATAGCCTTGGTTTGTAAGGTCTGAATTACATTATAATTTGATTTTTGTTTATAATGCTCTCTGTATTGGGGTAAAGGGAAAATGAAAGTAAACATTAGGAAAAGAATATAACTCAAATAGTATCACCACAATCAAAATACATTTACTGAATGTCTAGAGAGAGAAAAATAGATCGAAGGATAGATTATCCTAGTATATTATAAAATAGATAATTTTATATGTGAAGAAACTAAACCAAACACATTGATGTTAACCCATCAACAAAAGTAATTTAATTAAAGTAAGGGAAATAATATGTGATATCCCAAAAAGATTGTCAACAGAAATGCAATATGAAGATCCTGCAACATAAGACATAAAACACACATTTTGAATTTCCAACACACGTTACTGACTGTCCAAATAGACACAAAGATATGAAATGGAATAAACAGTCATTACATTAAGCATCCAAAGAAGTAGTAG